ATAAACAACTGACATATCATTCAATTGGATGTAAATAATGCATTCTTCATGGTGACCTTTTTGAGGGAATGTACATGGAATTGCCTTTGGGTTATACCCCTCAAATCCGTTTGGCATATAGGAGGAGCACTTGGTTTGTAGGTTACATAAATTCATTTATGGGTTAAAACAGGCTTCGAGATAATAATTTGCGAAGTTCTCTCATGCCCTTATACAAAATGGTTTTCACCAATCGAAATTTGATTATTCTCTTTTTACAAAAGGTTCTAGAAATGAATTTGTAGCCTTGCTAGTGTATGTAGATGACAAAGTCATCACATGATCAAATTCTCGCATTATTAATGATTTGAAATCATTTCTTTACAGGCAGTTTAAGCTCAAAGATCTTGGCAAACTCAAGTTTTTTCTTGGTTTAGAGATAGCAAGATCACAGAATGGCATTGTACTATCTCAAAGGCATTATGCCCTTCAATTACTGGAGGACCTATTTTCCTGGGATGCAAACCTGTTGTAGTACCCATGGATCCCAAAGTTCGGTTGAACTCCTTTGAGGGGGAGTTATTGGAAGATGGTTCTATATATAGAAGGTCGATTGGGCATTTATTATACTCGATAGTATCCAGACGAGACATCACGTTTACAATTCATAAATTGAGTCAGTTCGTTTCATAACGTAGGAAGCCTCATTTGAATGCTGTCCATCATTTGCTACAATACATTCAAGCAACTTCGGGCTAGGGTCTTTTATTTTCTGCTGGTTCATCCCTTCAATTGTGTGCCTATGCTTATGCGATTGGGGATCGTGTTTAGACTCAAGCAAATCAATCACTGGGTTCTGTGTTTTTCTTGGGGATTCAATGGTTTCGTGGAAGGCAAAGAAGCAAAACACCATATCTAGGTCGTCTCCAGAGGCTGAGTACCGTGCTTTGGCTTCTACTGCCAGTAAACTAGTGTGGATACAACAATTACTATGTGATTTTTGTATGAACATCAAGGGACCTGCTTTGATCTTTCGCAACAATCAGGTAGCGGTTCATATAGCTACAAATCCCATTTTCCATGATCGCACTAAACATATAGAAATAGACTGCCATTTTGTAAGAGATAAAATCAATGATGGTGTTATTAAGCTTTTGCCAGTTCGAACAAATCACCAGCTTGTTGACATTTTCACAAAACCTTTACCTGTGACTATATTGATTCATTTACTATCCAAGATGGCTATTATTAACCTTCAAAGTCCATCTTTAGGGGGAGTGTCATAGCCAACAGATCATCTAGCTGGATGTGAGCTGAACATGTTGTTGCATTAGTTTGGAATCTTGATAGTTTAGTTTGTTATTTTTAGTTGTAACTAATTTTCCCGCCTTTTCTCATTTCATCTTGTATTTATACTTTTGGAAGGTTCTCATAATTCAATTAAGTTGAATAATATTTTTCTCTTAAACATTCTTCTTGTCTGTAATAAGAAGAGGTTTTACGTAGCCTTTCACTGTGCTTTCTGTCTATAAGGCTATCATCAACAGCAAGAACATGAAATAGTGTGTCTGAGGCAGCCATTCCCATCGCTCCAAATTCAATCTTCATCGTCAGAATGTGAATTTTAAGAAGAGGAGAGAGACAAATGAGAAAGAAACTCTCCGAGTCGAGTCTTTTTGTGGACGAAAGGGTGTGGGTTGTGGTGGTTGTGGAATTGAGGGGGAGATGTTGTTTTGGTGTGATGGAGATGGAGGAGAAGGAGAAGGCGGAGGCCCCGACGTTGGATGGGTACGGTTGAACTGTTCGATAGTGGTGGTGATGGTTTTCGGGTGGTGGTGGGTATATGTTGGGTGAATGTAGAAGAAGAAGTTATTTGGTTTTTGATTTTAGTTATTTTATTATAAAAAATGTAAAGTTTCCATTTTAACTTTTTAAAATTAGTCAAAATTATTGTCAATGTCAATTATCTGGTCAATTAACTGTTAAACTAGCAGTTTTCATCCATTTGAATTTTATGTACGAGTTTTTGAAATGTTTGGTACCATGAATGCAACGAAATAAAGATTTGGGTCAAGTCTGTATAAAAGTGAAAGATTTGACACCGTGACTGTAAATTTTCATAGTAAAAATGCAAGAAACAATTTTAATATTTAACTATTCTTTTTTTGAAGTATTCCTTTTTTAATTTCCATGCATCTCACTTTCATGAGTCGGTGATTGTTGTCATGTAAGCAAATGGCGTGATTTGCGGTCCATTTATATTTGGTGTATTTAGTATTATTCTAGATTAGATCTCCACCGACGCTTATAGACCTCACCAAGTGTTTGTTTGGTAAAGCTCATACGAAAATAATCTTTTCTTAAATTCCACTTTTTAACTACATTCTTAAAAAAAAAAAAAAAACAATTTTCATTTCAAATAATCTCTCGCAAATAGACAATAAATCACCCTCCATGTAGTCTTTTTTCTCTTTACATTTGAATTTACGAATTTACGAATAAAGTTTCCACGATGTCCCGCTTTTCACTGGATGTAAGAATCAGATGACTCGCTTATGAAGATTATTTCATTTTTTCTCAACTTGTTGATACCTCAAACGAGTCGTTTGTGATATGATTACCTTAATTCCTGTCGATAAGTTAGGCTCCGTTTGATTGGCGGAGTTTTCTAGGGAAGTAGGAAAATATTTTCCTACTTTCACTTTTTTGACTCTTTGATATGCGAAATTTTCCACGGAAAATATTTTTCTCCATTTTTCTAGGTACAACCCTTTGAAGCA